CAAGGTGGCAGCGTCGATTCGTCCACGAAGACCGTGTTTCACAACACGAGTACGTCCGAAACACACCTGTTCATCAAGACTGTGCACCTCAGTTGCTATGACCCACAATAAACTTCCCAGCTAGTGCGGGTGGGGGTCTCGCGGCTCACGAGGATGGCGAGCCATGCCACTTGAACGAATACACTGTGTAGCGGTTACATATCTGGAACGGTTGTAACTCCTTGAAGGGGCGCGTGGCCTTTGCCACCATCGGGTATTTGGAGGAAATATCCATCCATCCTCGGTTTTCAGGCAGTTAAATGCCACGTCGGTTCATCCATCCGGATAATGTATCCGGTAACGAATAACTATATCTTGGGACCAACAGTCACCAAAAGCTAAAACCTGCGTAAGTGCAACGACTGCTTGCCGTTCGCACACCCAGTGACTCTCCACCACACGACGCCGAACGATGCCACGAGAAAGCTTCACACCAGACGACGTGTTGGAATTGGAAGCGCCGACAAAGTGTACGAGCAGGACGTACCGTCGACGGTTGTTGGGCCTAACGTAGGTGTCTCTAGCGTTCCTGTGCCCCATGAGCGCCAACGTGTACGGCATCGACTTTCTCAAGTTTCAGATCAGCGATTACGAAAGCAAGCGAAAGATTTTTCAAGTAAATTCGACGAATGCGCCAGCAATAGACACTCACGTGTTGTAGGTGGGTCGGGACTGCCCAAATTCCCGCGCCGCGCCCAAAGTGGACTACTCGCAACCGCTCGACGAAGATTCGTTCCGCAAAATCCGCTACGAGTTTTCGGAAGACGTCCTGCGATTGCCAGCGATCATGACATCGCTCGAGTTTAGCGTAGGGGCAAAGGAAGTGCATGGATTTCGCATGATCGAACGGCACTACTTTCGGGATGAGCTGGTCAAGTCGTACGACTTTACTTTTGGATTTTGCATCCCGAGCAGCACCAACACGTGGGATGCTATCTATTCGGTCCCAGCCCTTGACGAAGAGCTCATCCAAGACATGGTGGCGAACCCGTACGCGACCGTGTCAGACAGCTTTTACTTTGTCGGCGACGAGCTCATCATGCATAACAAGGCCGAGTACAAATACATCCTCGAAGACCGCGCGCAGTCGAAGCGATCGTACTACGACAGCGACGACGAAGGCGACGCAAAAGGTAGCAAGGGTGTCGGGGCGGCGGGCGCCAAAGAAAGCAAGGAGTCCAAGGATGCCAAATGGTCCAAAGAAGACGACTACGATGAATAACGATTCACCATTATCGATAGCTGCTGCTTTGTCTTCCTGCTCCAACTCGTACGACACCATCCGAATGTGTTTATAACTTTGCTAAATAGCCGTCACATTTCGTGGGCACACGAGAAATGCATCGTGTTTTGACAAGATGTCATGTGCTCTGCCGAATTCAAGGTGGAGTAATGATCTTGGTAGGGAATACACGACTTATTGTACACCGTTTCGAACTGCTCAATTCATTGTGGTGGCACTTTCGTCGATCAAAGCGACGTCCATCTGACAATGCAAACAGAGACAATCGAGGCCAAATCGGTCTCGAAGCGACGCCCGTTTCGCAATGCGGCTTTCGATTGTCGCGCATTCTTCGTCGGGAGTGTCCGCGCCGTCGTAGAATGTACAGATCTCTTCGCCAACTTGAATGTCCCGCCTTGCATACAGTTTGCGATATGGTCCTGCTTCGCGCTTGACCCATGCGTTGGGAATGCACGAGTGATTCAGAATCGACAGAATCGGTCCATGCACTGCAACTGTTTCCGATGCATTTGATGCTGTGAGCGTATACCCGAATTGACTCAGTCGGTTTTGTCGAGCAAGCTCCTTGAACGTGACAAACTGAGCCTTTTCCATCACGATGAGTTCTCCTCGATGAAATGCCTTTGTGGCAAACAAACCGTTGCCGCATCGTTCTGTCTTGCGCATGTCAACGCAGGGATTTGCCACAGCGACACACACAGGTTTGTGTGCTTTCCATACATGACGCTGGCACGCGGCGTTGCAGAAGTAAGCAAGTTTGCACTGGCCGCAAAGAAGAAGCTTGGAGCATTGCCGGTGGCACGCAGCGCACGTCTGGAGTGACCTCGTGGAATCGCCCATGAAATCACACCATTTCACCTCACGCAAAAATATGTGTGGTATCCGGACGCTTGGATTTTTATTCGGATTAGATCCAATACCGACGACCAATTTAAATACCTAGGAGAATTTATGGCCGATGGATCGCCAATCTATTTTTACGAAATCTTCAAGAGCCGCGGCCGGCTGGAGCTGCGTCCGATCACCGCCGAGGCCACCCACGCGTCACAACCACCGCACCTCAACTCTCCCGCCGGTGCATGGGTAGAACCCTTCGTAGACACATATAGCGTCGATCATCTCAACAATGAAAGATCGCCCCGAAAGCCAAGAGAGCCCAGTCGTCGTGGATGATGCAAACCAAGACGATACCGCCACGAACGTTCAACATCCCCCCGGCGGGAGTGGAGGTGATAGCTACGACTCGGAGGAGAAGTTAGGAGCTGTCCATCCGTGGCGACAATTCGTGGACCATCGAAAAGGCGACGACGCCACGCCGTTCTACCATAGCGGGCGTATCAAACGTCTCCGTCCGGCGTCGCAAGAAACGTTATCGCCACTGACACTGACGCCCCGCGCCCCTTCTCGACGAGACGGTCGATCCCGCGTGAATTCTATGGACGATCCCACGACGTTCGACGAGAAGCTACGTCAACCTATGTCCCGACGATTCAGCGAAATGCCCAAGTCTTCTGCCCCTTCCATGTCCGACTTGATACCGCTGGACAACGCATCATCGTCGTCTGTGCCTTCGTCAAAGGCATTGTCTGGGGGCCGGCCGTATCTGTACGAGTTCAACCTGTGGAAAAAGCCCGCGGCCCGCGTCATCGAGCGGCGCGGGGCCAGCGGCGACAACCGTAAGTTTGGCCCATTGCCGCATCTGCATGTATCCCTTCAGATAGCAGATTGGCATGGTCGTCCCGTCTCAAGCATCAGATCTGATTCTTTCCCGTGGATCGGATCCCATGCACACTGTCTGATTCGTTCGTACATTGATCTGATACGCTGTGGCAGACAACCACGAAGCCGCGGGCCATCCATGCGACGTCGAGGCGCCGCACCAACATGCGTGGGAAAAGAAAACGAGTCTCAAGGGGAGCCTTGCGCGCCTTGTGCTGACGAATCCAAACAATCATGACAACAACAACGATAACGACGTGGCCGCCTCACCCTTCCATACCCTCCATCGGAAGCCACGGTCCGCCTCCATGCAGGATGACATGTGCGAATGTGAGCTCACGCGGTCCAACTCACCGGATTTCAAGTATCTTCATCGGTTCTTTGGCGACGGGTATGCATCGTGTCCCAGTTCACGTGATCGTCTCATGCGTATGCCCCAAGGCGAGGCGACCGACCGACGCGAATCAAGTGGAAGCGCGGTGAGCTAATTGGAGAAGGCACGTTTGGCAAGGTGTACAAAGCCCTCAACTCGTGCACTGGCGAATTGTTTGCCGTCAAGCAGATCGAAGTGCCGCGGGACAAAAAGCACGAAAACGAGTCCAAGATGTTGGCGAAACTGGGCGAAGAGATCGCGCTGATGAAGGACTTGCGTCACGAACATATCGTGCGATACCAAGGAACCGACCGCGACGCCCACTTCTTCTACATCTTCATGGAGTACGTGCCAGGCGGGTCGATTGCAAGGTATTGATACAACTTTCGCGATGTGGTCGGCTGATGCCCTGTCGCAGCATGCTGGCTCAGTACGACGTGTTCAATTTGGATTTGATACGAAAGTTTACGCGGCAAATTCTCCTTGGTGTCGAATACCTGCATAGCAAGAGCATCATTCATCGCGACGTGAAAGGTACCGCGGCTTTCATCGAGTGTCAGAGTTGATTCGCTGTAGGCGCGAATGTGCTGGTGAATGAGCAAGGGGTAGCCAAGCTAGCCGACTTTGGGTGCTCCAAGCAACTGTCATCGGTGAAAACTACGAGCATGGAAGAGAGTTTGCGGTCCATTCGAGGCTCTGTACCATGGATGGCGCCAGAAGGTGCGATTTATTGCATCGATGCGTCTCCATCTGACGATGTGTTGCGCGCGATAGTTGTCAAGCAATCCGGTCATGACTTCAAAGCAGATATCTGGAGCGTCGGAGCCACAGTAATCGAAATGGCGACCGCAAAGCACCCGTGGCCAGCAAATACGAATCATCTTTCAGTCATGTTCCACCTTGCTATCAATCCAACGGGTCCACCGATTCCGGACTGGTTGCCCGATGTTGTCAAATCCTTCCTTCAACGGTGTTTCTGCATCGATCCAAACGGTGAGTCCTGTACCGTTGCACGAGAAATTGATTAAGCTGCGGTTGTCTTCCACTCTGGTCCATCCTGATCCTCACGCTTCTCTTCCAGAGCGAGCGACGGCGACGGAGCTGCTGCAGCACGACTTTCTCTTGGTCTCGTGAGGAGAAAGAGACAAGCGCGCCATTCTGGAATTTCGAGAATGGGTCGCGCGCCCCGGCGTTGATGTAGGATTGTGTTTTTCCATGGCTATTTAACTGGCAAATTTACTTCATGCTCGAAAATTCGCCAAATTTCTGCTACAGTAAAGTCGTCAATTTTTTTACAAAACCGATTTTGAGATATTTCATGCGTTGTATTTTTGCAAAGAATTCGTCGCTACTTGTAATAAATAGGTGAAACAGTTGATGAGCCACTCTCCTATGAATTCTATTTTGTCAAAAGAACATCCAATATCGGCCGTAAATTTATTCGGTATTGTCAACAAGGCACGTTCCGTAAAGTGGAAAGAAATCGTTTACGACATTACGCGTAGCAGCAGTACTCGAAAAATTTGGCGTCATGTAGCTTCAGAGCAGTGTGAGATCGGACCTTCGCAGTCATGTGGCTGTTAGGGAAGTTCGGTGAACAGCAGCAATTTCCATTGACCGTGGCATCCTATTGGTAGCGCTTGGATATTGTAATTTAACCGTCGTTAGTCTTTACACTGAATTAAATGGTAACTATGCAATGAGTCGACTTCTCCGTGTGGTGTGAAGTTTGACTTTCGCCTTCACATCGACGGTTGCAGCGAGCAAATACTCCGCATCGATTCTTGTTTTCGCCATCGTCCGCAACATCTGTATTAATTTGACACAATGTCACTTAACTCAGACATAGCAAGCCTTCTGGAAAATTTTACCTCACCGACGTCTGGAAAACGCCAGAATAATGCGATATAATTCCCAAATTGATACAATACCCCATCGGCAGTGATCCGGGGTGCCGTCAACGAGTTGTGACCTCAACTTCAAATTGCGATTCGCGCTGGCGCAAGATGATGCTTTCGCGACAGTTGGGACGGCGCGTGATGCCGCGACACATGATGGTGCTCCGTAGTTTCTCTGCAGGGGGCAACAATGCATGGGTGAACCCTGAGAATGTACCCAAGGGTGAGCACCTGAAGAAGTACGGCCGCGACTTGACCTTGGCCGCGCAAGACGGCAAGTTGGATCCAGTGATTGGTCGCGAAGACGAAATCCGTCGCGCGGTGCAGGTGCTATCTCGCAGGACGAAGAACAATCCGGTGCTGATTGGCGACCCTGGTGTCGGCAAGACAGCGATCGCTGAAGGGCTTGCCCAACGCATTGCATCTGGCGAAGTGCCGGAGAGCATGAAGAAGAAACACGTTGTCGCCCTCGACTTGGCGGCACTCGTTGCCGGTGCCAAGTTTCGCGGCGAATTTGAAGAGCGCTTGAAAGGGGTTTTGAAAGATGTCGAGGGGAGCGACGGCGAAGTTATCTTGTTTATCGACGAGCTGCATATGCTCATGGGAGCTGGTGGTGGCGACGGCAGCATGGACGCTGCTAACATGCTCAAGCCAGCATTGGCACGAGGGTCCTTGCATTGCATGGGCGCGACAACGCTGGACGAATACCGTACGTCAACCTTTTTGTGTGTTCTTCTCATCGGCCACTTTGGTCGCAGGAAAATACATTGAGAAAGACGCTGCGCTGGCACGGCGGTTCCAGTCCGTCTTGGTGACTGAGCCATCCGTTGAAGCAACGATTACAATTTTGCGAGGATTAAAGGAAAAGTACGAAGTGCATCATGGCGTGCGCATTGCTGATAGTGCCCTCGTCCAAGCCGCGACCCTGGCCCACCGGTAGTGTCCGTCCAAGACATCATGGGAGCGTCCTGATGATCTCGACTAGCTACATTTCAGATCGCAAAATGCCGGACAAGGCCATCGACCTCGTCGACGAAGCAGCGTCGCGTCTGCGCCTGGAGCAGGAGAGCAAGCCCGAGCCGATTGAGCAACTAGAACGCAAGATCATCATGCGCAAGATTGAGCAGGAAGCCCTAAGAAAGGAAACGGACGCGGCGTCCGCGAAACAGCGTCAAATCGTGCAACAGGACCTTGCAGCGATGGAGACAGAGCTCAAGGCGCTGATGGACGAGTGGAATGAAGAAAAGAACCGATTGCAGGGACTCAAAACGTCGAAGAAGCGGCTAGAAGAAGCCAGACGTGAGTTGGAAGCCGCCCAGCGTCATGGGTGCGTAGCATTTTTTTGATGGACCGCGGAGCTCACTCGACCGGCGAGTAGAAATTATGCCCGCGCAGGGGAGCTTATGCACAGCGTGATTCCTCAATTGGAACGCGAAGTCGAACACGACGATAGCCAGGACGAATCCGATACTGTGGAACCCAAGGGGTCAAAGCTGCTACTTGGTGATGCGGTCACGTCGGACCACATTGCAGCGGTCGTGGCGCGTGCCACAGGCATACCGGTCTCGAATCTCCTCTCTGGTATAGTGAACAGATGGGGGTGTTGTCGATGGCTAACGACACGAATGATGACGTGCAGGTGAAAAGAAGCGGCTGCTCTCGATGGAATCCCTCCTCGAGACACGTGTGGTGGGTCAGATGCCCGCTGTGAAGGCTGTCAGCGACTGCATTCGCATGGCCCGTGCCGGGCTTCACGCGCACAACCGTCCGTTGGGAGTGTTTTTGTTCTTGGGGCCAACAGGTAATGCCGCCACTTGCTTTTTCGACGGCTGGCGTATCGCTGGTCTGAATGTCGCTTGGATTGGGTTTGAAGAATTCTCACCGACTGGCGTAGGCGTGGGGAAGACTGAGTTGACTAAGGCACTGGGCGAGTTTTTATTTCAGGACGCGTCGGCCATGACGCGCATTGACATGTCGGAGTACATGGAAAAGCACACGGTGTCGCGGCTGATTGGCGCGCCACCGGGGTATATTGGGTACGAGGAAGGTACGTTGATGGAGTAGACGACGTCCTGGATGGTGAGAGGGGTGTGTTGTAGGCGGCACGCTGACGGAGGCGATTCGCCGTCGACCGTACCAAGTGGTGCTGTTTGACGAGTTTGAAAAGGCCCACCGCGATGTGTCCAACTTGCTGCTGCAAGTGTTTGACGAAGGACGGTTGACCGACTCGCAAGGCCGTCTCATTGACTTTCGCAACACGGTGATCATTTGCACGAGCAATTTGGGGTCGGAAGTGCTCGCGACGTTGCCCGAGGTAGGCCTCATCCAACGTGTCCACGATGCCGATAGTACATGTCGCAGGGTGTACCGAGTATTGACGCCGAAGACGACGTGATGGAGATTGTCCGTCGACATTACGCCCCCGAGTTTCTCAACCGCATCGACGAGATGGTGCTGTTTAACCGGTTGGGCCGCGAACAAATCCGAGCGATTGTCGACTTGCAGTTGCACGATATCCAGGCTCTGTTGGACGAACGTGACCTTGGTACGAACCATGGCTGTTTCCATCGTGATGCATGTTGATCCTGTCCTTTGTAGCACTCGACGTGACGGATGCCGCCAAGGAATGGCTCGCCGACGTTGGATACAGTCCAATGTACGGCGCACGCCCTCTGAAGCGACTCATCCACAAGCAGCTGCTCACGCCGCTTTCCAAGCAGATCCTCGTGGGAACTTACAAAGCCGGAGACAAGATTCACGTCGACCAGCCCAACTCTGCCGCCGACACGCTCGTGTTTTCCTGAGGCGGTGCTAGTTTATCTTTTTAAATGACGAGATTCTTGCCTCGGCGCACTATGATTGGCTAAAATGAACTGAATCACATTGCATACAGTGCGATTCCTGCGCTGTCATTGGCTATATTTCCGATTGTATCTACAGCTCAGGCCGATATACCTGATATTTGTATGCAGTTAAAATTTTCTTCCATTGAAATTCGCTTCAACGTTGATCAGTGTTGTCGTTTCGACCAAGAAGAGCAATGGACCTCGGCGACTTCGAGGCCATCGCGACGCCGCGCGAGCGCCAAAGCACGACGTCGTCAAACTCGAATGAATCCTTGCCGTTCATGGTGGCACTGGAAGAACCCCGTGAACACAAGAACGTTCTCCATGCGGTGAAGGACACATCGAGCATACTGTGGCAAGATCTGCTCCGTCGTGTGGCAAGGTCCGACGACGACAACGCGGCATCCTTGCGGAAGTCGACACGAGTTTGCACCCCGCTGCTGTGGAATCAGCAAAGCCGGGCGTACGTCATCCACTCTGTCAAACACTACACGTCGAACTTTCCCGAGTTCCAGCGGGAAATCTTCTGCGGTGTCGCCGTCATGTTGCTTCAAGCACCCGAAACCATTGCGTTCAGCTACGTCGCGGGCGTCGACCCTATCGTGGGCCTCTACGCCACTGCTTTCTTGGGCATCATCATCGGTGCATTCGGGGGTAAGGGATCAACGAAGTCGCCTAAACTCACGCCCCGCACGGCCAGGCACAGCGGGGATCGTTGCGGGGGCTGCAGGTGCGCTAGCTGTTGTCATGCCACCCATTACGAGCGGCACGGGCGTCCTCAAAGGTAACATACTTCGACAATAGCAAGCTAGACTCGACATCCTAGACCGGCCGTACGACGAGCGAATGCAGCATCTTTTCATGGCCGTCTTCTTCACGGGTGTGTCGTCCCGCATCCTCGATTCAACTCTAATGCGAGTATTCAGGCGTGTTTCAGTTTGCGTTTGGTCTGCTTGGCTTGACGCGATTTCTATCGATGGTGCCCAAGACCGCCATGATTGGATTCCTCAATGGTCTCTCCCTCGTCATGTTCTATGCCCAGCTGCCAACGTTCCAACAGTGCCCTCTATCAGTGCAACCAGACTTTCACACGTGCATGCGAGACGGCACGTTGGAGTGGATGGCTCCGCGCGACCCTAGGTTCGTACATACCACGCCACCCCAGCCTTAGCATTTCATGTTGTTGTAGCACTTGGACAACGGTCTTTCTCGTGGTACTGACCATGTTTATCATGCACGTCTTCCCGAAACTCCCCCGCATTGGCCACCTCGTTCCCCCGACGCTCGTCGTCGCGCTGGTCTGCGTCGGACTGGAATTTGGCGTCCACCGGCCCTTGTTGCACGCTCCCACTCGCACCATTCGCGACATTTCGCCCCTCTCCGACTCGTCCTTCCCGACCCCTCGTTGGCCATCCCTGGGCTCGTCCCCCAACTGGACGATCATCGTCACCACGAGCGCCAGTCTCTCGATCGTTGGCATTTTCGAATCGCTGCTGACGTTGCAAGTCGTGTGCGAACTCACGCAACGGCCCGTGACAAACGCAATGTGCCGCCAGGAAACCCTCGCGCAAGGGCTTGGGAACGTCGTGTGCGGCCTCTTTGGGGCCATGGGTGGGGCGTCCATGATCGGTCAGTCGACCGGAAGCATTCTCAACGGCGCGCGAGGTCGGCTGTCGGCCGTCGTCGGCGGCTTCGTCATGCTTGCCGTCGTCATGGGTGCTGGGCCAGTCGTGGAAGTCGTTCCAGTGGCGTGCTTGACGGGTGTTATGTTTATCATTTGCTACCACACGTTTTACTGGCCAACGTTTCGACTCTTGCTGCGGCTGCAGCTCGTCGACGTCGTGGGAATTGTCCTCGTCACGGCGTTGGCAGCGGCGATCAACTTGGCTGTTGCAGTGATTGGAGGTAACTATCTTCTTGTTGGAGAGTGCCTGCGATGGATTTTCACCCAGCCAATTCCAACCACGATGCCTTCTCTTTTTGTGCACGTTTGTGGGCATTCGCTCGTTCCCCTCGTTGGATATGACGTTCTCATTAGGCATTGTGTGGCACGCCCTGGTCCACGTGTGGCAGCACAGTCGACTGCTCACGCACACTACGTTCACCGAAGTCGAGCCCGACGGGACGGACATCAAGGTGTATGCATTCAAAGGGACGTTCCTCTTCAGCAGCGCGACAGCGTTTCGAGATGCGTTCGCATCCGTTCACGACGACCCGGCCACGGTACGATCTCAGTACGCGCTGCTTTCGCTGGCGCCGCTGTTGTGGCCGACACGCATCGGACCCGCGTTCTCGAGTGAATGGCTGGGGTTGACGGGGGCGAGTTGTAGGTTGTTGTGGACTTTGCGCAGTGTTTGATTGTGGATTTTTCGGCCGTCGCCGCGGTCCGTCAGGTTGCGTTGCGGTATCGCCAACTGGGAAAAAAGCTCGTCGTGCGACACCTGAACGACGAGTCGAAGCGGGAATTTACCAACGACCTGCCGTGGGTACACACGCACCACGTGACGGTGGCCCAACCCAACGACACGGACAGCTCAACCGTCCATGTGAAAGAGATCCCAGACGACAACGTCCGTGCGATCCGGTCGGAGGTCTAAAGGGCTCACGTAGGAAACAATGCGTGAAATTGACGGGTTACAATTGTCGATCAAGCGTTCGTTGGTGTGTGCATGATGCCCACGTCGTATTCAGGTGTCGATGTGGGGGCCAACGGCGTGGCTCGCCGTGCAATTCCATCCTTTTCGTTGAAGCTCGTACAGCTGCTCCTCCAAGATCGCGGTGAGCTCGATCGTGCTCTTGAGTACAAGCCGTAGGCCGTCTTGGATGTCTTTCTTGGACTGCATGCGAAGTTTGGCGTGTTTGGCACTGGACGATGTGCCGTTGTTGTAATCGGGCAGTGCTGCGGTGGCCGAGCTGGTTCCGTCCGTTCCCGCGCGCAGATGCACCAAGTCGGTTGCGACTCGGTCGAAATCAATCAGTGCAGTCGATCGGTCAAGGAACCAAGATGGTGTGGCGACGAAACGATGGACAGCATGTGGAAAAGGATATGGAAAGCATCCGCGGTCATCACACGCTCGTGCTGGTCGGGGCCTTCCACGACTTTGACTTGGAGAAAGTTGTCCCGATTCTAGACGTGGATACAGGTAAGCCAGGACAGGGCTCGGACAAGCGTTCGGCGTGCGACGACCTTAGTTTGCGAGTACACTTTCAATATGTTATGTCGCCGCATGAGCTTGTTCGCTTGGCCCTACGGACCACCATCATGTGGGTCATCACGCCAAGGTGGCAGGCGGAGCCGTTCGATCTTGACGGCAACTTTTCGCTCAAAGTCGGCTTTTTCTTGAAACAGCTCCATCTACACCATGACTCGACATGAGTCACGGCACTGGCGCCGATAATGGAGCGGGCGGTCGATCGATGAATACCGCAAAGTCGCGTTCACGGGCCCGCTTCTCCTTGGCGGCCTTCTTCAAATATGCTTTCGACACAGAGAGCTAGACAGGTGGTTTGTGTGAGATGACGGAACGAAATCGTGGCGTACGTTGCGATTTGATGGCGCAGAGACTGGCCGAAACCCTTGTGAGTTGCCTATAAAGCCAGTCATGATCCGTGGACGGCCAGGTGGATGGATCGATGCAAGCTCAATTGCAGACCTGGCGTAGTTCGTTTTTCCCTCGGGTCGTCTTGGTGGAGGCGAGCGTCCATGTTACTCGATGATGCTAGGATTGGGAGGCCATCAGCTTGTCAGAGAGGTTAACCAGGGAACAGAAGGAGGTCGGACTTGCCGGACGGGGCTTGGCACTTGTGGGCCGTGCAAGAGGTGCTTTGAGGCTGAGATTCGCCAACGACGCCTGAATTTCGGTGCTCGATCCACTTGCTGGTTGGAAACGTTTCAGGGGTGCTGTGCTTGGTCGACTGTGACCCCTAGCGCTCCAACTGCCCATGGCGTCGGTGGCTGCGTTGGCGGTCCTGGTGCAGCTCGTCAGCGCTTCTACAATACCCCTACGTCATTTCTTCCGACAACGCAAGTCTCCGCTCGTCGTACGAATTGTGTCTTCAGCTTCCGTCGCCGCAGACACGTCCTATATCGGCAATCTCGCAGTGAGTGGCATGAAGAGGAAGGGACTGCCATACATCCTGAATGTCATCGCCATGCATCGCAACACTCATTTGATGGCTACTGGACTCGGCCGTCGAAAGGTCGCGACGGTTTTCCCAACCTTCCCTTCAACTGTCCACTTTCATTCGAAGAGCTGGGTCGCTGTCACGGCACGCCCCACCATATACGATGCTAATGGACCGCCTCCCAGTCGACGGCTATACACAGATACCTCGCGCGCCATCCTTCTCGCGCCCGCCCTTCATGGGACGAATTCTGTGCGACTTCGATGTCGCGGCCAGGCACATGCTACTTTTCCCAGATATTTTATACAATTCAAGAAAAATGTTGATAGCGCGTTTTGATTGGATAAAAGTTCTGAATCGAATGGGTCCCTATGCTTGATGGCGATGGCATATTCATCAAATATTAGCCAATCGAATTGATTCGTCGTATTTTTATTTCGACATATCGGGATTTCCCGTCAGGGATCAGATTCTGGGGGGGGCACGCCGGCGATGGCTTCGTGCGACCAATTGCTGAAGTCTGGACACGGCTGTAATGTGTTCACACCACTTCCGCTTGGCTTGCCATGGCCACCACCGTTGCTCCGCTAGCTGCTGCCGCCACGGCGATCGCGATTGTTGAGGCCACCGAGGTCGGACCGAGCATCGACCATGATGCGATTCCCATCGCGGCGCTCGTCGATGACCGACCGACGTATCGCGTCGACTGGTGGATCAAGGCGTCCAAGTCGACGTTCTTCTCGAAAGCGGCGTCGTGGAAGTGGTGCCAAGTGGTCATTCTGGGCCAAACCCTGACCGTGTTTCACAAAGACGGTATCGTCGGTTCCTTTGCGACGCCAACGTCGGTTCTCGCCCCGAATGGCCACCAGTTGTACGTATTGTCTGGCCGGAACGGCGTCCAGCTCGAGCTGCATTGCCCCAGTAACACGGCCATCCAGAAACTTGTCGCGGTGTTTGGAGCATCCCAGGCTTCTGCCCACTGGACCCTGCCCTCTTCCTCCTCCGTTTTGGACGAGTTGGTCGATGTGGCCAAACTCATTGTGGAAGGCGCGAACGCGACGCCCAAGAAGCGAGCAGTTGTCCCCACCAAGTCCGCTGCGACAATCGCGCAAGTCCAAGCTTTTATGAATCGCCTCCAGGCAGTCTACACGGACGTGAGCGACGTCGCCGCGTCCAAGGAAGAGCTCTACAGAGCTGTTTTAAAGCTGGAAGCCGAGTACAAGGCAAACCCATCCACGCCGTCACCGCTTGTCGCGCTCGTCTTGGACGTGTACCCTGACCTGTCGATCGAGTCGATGGCATTCCAGCTGCCGATCACCGAGTGCCCGGTGTGCACGACCCATTTGCACTCGACGCAAACCCTCGACATCCACGTTGGTGGCAAGATGCTGCACTGCCGGTACTGCCACACCGTCATGTCGTACGAGACGTTCCAACTCGCCGACTTGGTCAAGAACCACCTCCCCAAAACCATCGAGTTTGAAGTGGGCATGTTTGGCAAATCCAAGCACGTCCTGCCGATGCCTGGCGTCCCCGGGGACGGAAAAATCAAAACGTACATGGAGACTCTGTGGAGCACGTTGACGTCGTTTTCCACCAAGGGCGGCGACAAGTGCCCGCGAAGTGTGTATTCGGACATCATGGCCCACATCAAGCAAGTGCTGTGTCGCACCGACTTGGTCCAGCACATGTACCGCCAACTCCTCTTCGTGTCGCACATTGTCGGCCATATCGAATACTGGACCGTCCCCATCGTCATTGAAGCGTCGATCCGTCGCTTTGAGCAGTTCCATCACTTGGCGCACCATGTCGTGCAAGTTGGAACGGGTGTCGCCTCCATCGACATTGTGCTGGTCGCGCAGACGCTGCAAGTCCACAACCAAGGGTCTGCGGCGTTGCCGCGCCAACTCGTGCTTCCCCGCGACCACGGCAGCCGCATGCTCAAAGTGCGACTCGCGGAAACTGCCGTGCTGTTCTATGAAGCGTACGGCGAGCCGTACTCGCCATCCGTGATGCTCGACCAGGCGCTCTGGCTGTCGACCAAAGTGTTCGTTCAGAGCGAAATGACACGATGGGAACGAGCGCATATCCAAGTCGCGTCCCATGACAGCCAGTTCCGTGGCGTGCAACAAGTTTACCCCGCTGGACGATTGCGCCACGCGGCAGACTTAGCCGATCGACCGGACGCCCACGAGGTCGCGGTTGCCGTCATCGGTGCCTTTGAACACGACGTGCGGGTCGGAAACGGCAGCAAGTTGCGTCTCGCGCTACCTGAGGACCCTTCGATTTTGTACGACATTCCGGGCGTCCAGCGCCACATGACCCAGTTCACGGCCTTACTCAAGTAGTGCGCGTGATCTCGAGGGGCCTCCCGAAAGGATTCCACGTCGTGCAGTTGCAAAGCTTCAAGCGTATGACTGTGTGAAGATATCGTTGAGTGTGTACAAGTTTTTCCTGAACAGCAGCAGCGGGTGTGTCCGATCGCTGCCATCAACTGGCGATCGACGGAAAACGACGACGGCATGTTGTGCAGCACCTAGAAATGATGATCCAGGCGCGCATCGTCCACGGCAAACATGGTCGAAGCATTGCATTTTGCTGGGTCAGGTGAGGGTCGCCTAGCTCTTGAGTCAACGAGGGGCATGCACTACAATCACGGGAAAAGCAGTCGATACTACGATACTACGAAGCGAGCCATCAGGGGCGCCATTCCGGCCTTGGCCAGTCGTTCTTTGACTTGCCAGTACGTGGCATACGTGCTGGCGAATGTCGATTCGAGGTATTCACTCGTCGACTTGGCGATCGACGACGCCACCGACGGCCTCGACGAGTCGCAAACCTTGGTTGTGAAGAGCTGGCCGCGCTAGTCGGGCGAGAGATAGCTTGCCGTGGTGACAGACATACGACTGCGTTCCATTTCTACAGAGTTGTCGGGCAGCTCGATCGAGTGAATCACGCTGTTGAGCAACATGTCTTTCGCTTGGACTTGGGTAAACTCGGTGTACTTTTTGCCGAGCGCGTGGTGCTGGAACCGTGGCAACGTGTCCAGGACCATGAGTTTCAAAATCGCCTCGCGAAACGCGTCAAAGACAGCAGGGTCGTGGTCGATGGCAGTCTCGAGGCCGAGGACGACCTGGCCCTTGCGATCTTTTGAAAATATCTTGTGGTAATGCTGGCGGAGGACGTCTGGGATGTTCGTCTCCATGGGGGCTCCGACGCTCATGTACGCCTTGTAGATCGAGTACGCGTCGCCGCCGCCGTTCATTCGAAACTCATACGCTGCCTTCCACGCCACAACGTTTTCATAGCTAAACTCGAGCCGAGCAAACGCGGAAAATGCCGCGTACCCATCGGGGGTGGCCAAGTAATCTTCAAGGACGGCCAGTTTGCTGCTGTGGTCTTCCGCCGACGTAAAGTGCACCGGGAGCTCGCGCCGCGAGTGCAGCAGTGGCCACACGATTTGACATGCCACAACAACTAACCCTGCAATCGGCAGGATGAAGTATCGGACCTTGTAGTTGGTCACCCATGGCGTGTCCCGAAACAGCAGCGCGATGGCTTCTAGGACAAACAGGACGGAGAGAAGTCGGCCCATCGTTTGGTAGCGCTTGCGCAGGCCAAAGTTGTCGATCACTTTTGAGAGAAAGTGCGCAAGAACGCCGAAGGACGCAATGAAGACGGCGACGAGAGTGAGCAAGACAAAGTTCATGGCGACATTCAGGGGCACTTCGACGCAGTCAGCGACACTGAGCGACTGCATGCGACCGACACTGTCTTGGTCTACGAGGGCCAGAGGTGGAAGAAGCCACAGTAGCGTGCCCATGGCCCACTTTATGACGAGTGCGCGAGGCTGGAGAAGTCGCCGCAGACGCTGGATCTGGACGACGGACTTCGCCTTGGACTGGTCGGAGATGTCGGCATGGTGCTGGACGAGGTGCTGGGTTAAGTTGAAAGTCAGGACGAGCGTGAGCTGGTTGAGCGCGAGTCCGAACAGCGTCACCATCACAAACACGTACAGGAACGCGTTAAACGTGCCGCATGCGACGTTGTGCTGGTCCAAGAGCATGCACGAACCACCGACCGACAGCACCGACGCCATCGAGCTGCAGAACGCCGTCTGGTGGGGATTTGAAAACCGAATCGACGGATAACGACTGCGCGCGAGGTACACGCCAATCGCAATCGGCATCGAGCATGAGAACAGCACCAGGACGACGTACAACCCAAAGGGGCCAGCTTCCATGAAGAGACCAGGGTACGACGGACGGTCGGCGGCAACGTGGAACGGAAAGCGAGTGGATGGGGTGTGGCTACGACAAACTTGGCAACGACACCAAGTAAGAAGGGGGGCCTGTCGGTACACGGAGGAGTGACGGCAACGTCCTATGTCGAGCAATTGAACTAAGAATAACTCACGTGGCTAAAAGTACCCGCCAACCGCATGGACCGCCATCGCTGTCTTGAATTGCGCAGTTGCATGGCGCTGCTTCGACCTTGAATATCATCAATGCTGTAGTGACTCGATTGCCGCGGGCTTGACCGGAGTAACGAGACATGCGATGCAGCGGGCTCAGGATGACTTTGGGGTAACGAGGATGCTGGACCGCTTCAGTCGGTGCCTGATCCATCCTTCCCCATGTAGTTTCATTATGGTCAGGTAGTAGCATGGCTGAAGCAAGCGCCGTCGGTCCACGAAAGGTGGGCCTCCCCCGTGCATACCAACCTTGCGCACCGATCCATGTTGACGTCGTCGCTGACAGAGCATGTATTTCGTGGGACTGGAGGCACCGGTACGATAAACTAATACATTAAGGGAATACTCATTTCAGGTGGAGCCACCGACTTTTGGTGGAGGGTGCGACTGCGACCCATATGAGGAGACAGTGTGGTGGGGCGGCTCGTTTATGCTGCACTGCACCAGGCGCTGGTTGAATGCATGCCAAAAGTGCACGAGGCGGAGGCGGTCGTCGTGTTGGAGCGTGATGGTCGAGGCGGCGATTAAGATGCTTTCCAGCAAAAGCTGCGCGCGGGAGTAGAGATCGCTTGCCAGGCCTATCGAGTCTCGTTCGTTCAATGTCAAGCAGCCACCGTCGGATGAGAGTCTGCACCTTTCTGACCGAGCACTTCGTGGACAGCAGCTTCTCTGCCCAACCGCACGACTTGGCCATACAAAAGATCTTCCACTGACGCAGTCGTGGATCCGGCCGATTTTTCCTCGAGCATGTCTTGCTTGCACTGTTCCGCTTTGTCGATACACTGGACGAGCAATGCCTTGATCCAGCCTTGCTTGGCCGCCGCGTCTTCTTGTGCGACAACCATGTGCAGCAGATGCATACACGTCATCGCGAGGAGCAGCGCATGTTCGGGGGACGAAGCCGCAGCGTGATATCGACTGCCGCTTTTGTCCTGACCGACAAACGACGACGCTGGCGACGAGTGCGTCGACGAATTGGTCGACGAGCTGATGGACGAAGTTCCTGATGGATGGGAGAGGACGAGACCACCGTTGGTGTCAGCAGGCGGCCCCATGAACAAGTCGACAACTCCCAGGATGGCCTGGACTCGGGCGAGCATCGTGTCCACCTAGCACCGCCATGGTAACCATGACGACCACCCACATCGAAACCCAAATCACCAGCAACCTCTCGTTTGAACTATCTACAACATATCGTGTCGAAAGGTCTGTCGTACCTGCAAATTCAGCTCGAGCCCTAGGTTGCGAGTGACCGCGACGGCAAGCGAATGAGATGGGGCGTTTGAATCAGCCAAAGGATGCACAATGCCGGCGGATGGGGATGTTGTGGTGGGGGACATCGCTGTCGGGGAGGAAAGTGGCTTGGCGGCGACGACAGGTAGGCCGGCCGGAGACGAGGCCATGGTGACATTTATCTGGGGACTTCTGCTGGCCATGAGATGGCGATACCCGCCGGTGGCGGCGCTGGCCGGCGCAGACGTCGACGTGACCATGGTCAATGCTGCTTCTGTCGACGAACTCTGCGTGGACGGTGGGGTGTCTGACTTGAATGGGTTGATGCGAAGAGACGACATCGAGATTGGGACAAGGTCCGGGCTCACGGGCTGGTGGTGGGACGCAACTGGAGGATTCGCACCGAGCAGACTCGCCTTGAGATTTGCCGTCGATGACGACGCGCTGCGTCGCCGGTACGACTGCATCATGCTGGCGCGATACGAGTCATGCAGCTTGAGCTGCGACGGCGTCACGACCACCCCAGGGCTGCTGGCATTCAAGTCGCTGGATGGAGTAATATCCACTGGATTGGTGCGCACAAGCGACGCGGCTACATCAGGGCCAACATGACTTGATGGAAACAAGATGGAGAGGAATAGACGAACGCAACGCGACGGCAGACGCCGTTAATGAAGAAGGGGACGGACGGTTTAGAAACGGGGCGTTGAAGAACTGGTCAAACGAGATGCGGCGCTTGGGGTCCCGCACCAATAGACCCTACGGCGTTGGTAAACACAACATGACGGAAGAGTCGTGACAAAACGGCGTGGACCTCCATCAGATTGATCGCGTCGCGACCCACGGGCAAGTCCTTTGGAAAGCGGACACTTTCCCGCTGGATGTTGTGCAGCAGCTGGACTTGGTTGGCCCCATTGAAGGGTGGCCGCCCCACGACCTATCCCAACGGAGGCTGCGTGATTCGATGGGACGATGGAGGGGTTGGATGTTGACAATACCATTTCATACAGAATCGTTCCGACACTCCACAGATCGGCTTTGCTGTCGTACTTCTGGAATTGCAAGATTTCAGGTGCCTAAAGTGGAAAATCAGGGGCATGAGATGCCCTTACGACTGGATTCGATGGGGGTGGTCTACCATGTACAATGGAGAGCCACAGAGGGTTTCCGCGAGAGACGTCGACTCCAAATGACGCGCAAATCCAAAATCCGCTGGAACCAACATGATACGTGAGATGGCAAACGGTACGTCGATATCAGTGGGAGGACGTTGAACGTACCAATCTTCAACGACGCTGTCGCGGAAGCCTCAGACAAGAGAAGGTTCTGGGGTTTCAAATCACGATGGATGAGGTTGAGGCTCCATAGCACATGCAATCCATCGGCAAGCTCGCGCAAAAAATGGCGCGCCGTGTCTTCGCTCACGACGCCGTTAGGTTGCTTCTTGATAAAGTGCTGGAGGTCCCCGCCATCGCAGTATTCAAGCATGAGGTAAATGTGCTTCTCCGTCTTCTTGATATCGTAAAGTTTGACGATGTTTGGATGATTGATCTGGCGCATGATGGAGATTTCGCTTTCGAGGTTTTCCAGCAGCTTGGGATTCAATTTTTGCTTGTTGATAGCCTTCACGGCCACGGGGACGTTCGTCACTTTGTGATACCCTTTGTACACAATGGCGAAGGACCCGCTCCCGATGCGCGCGGTGACCACGTAGTCTCCTACGACAGCCTGCTTCTTCTCCATCTTGGTGAACAAGAAGGCCAAGGAAGATGCCGCCGCCGGTCTGTCGTCGCCGCGAGAATCGTTTCCTATTCTGAACCCGACAAATCACATTCGAGCGAGGATTATCCGGACGAGTTCCTCCCGCGCGCATTAAATCGGTTCGGGCAATTCACCTATATTACTTACATGCAATTTTAATCCACCCAACAGAAATATTATCCGAACAGTTGAAGTTTGCATGTTCGAAGGAAGCAAACTTATACGAAGATCCTCCAAACCCTTCAATAAGGTTTTCAAATGCATCTCCCCGCACACACGTTGACTCAAATCTATCCATTCACGACCCTTCCAAACTTCATTGCCTTCATGTGTACACTGAAAGGCGCCGATTGAAAGACCCCAGAGTCCCTCTGTGCGAAGGGAATGGCTGTGCTGCTGTGCTCAGATTGGTCGTATGGGACGAACCACTTCAATTAAGTAACACTTCCACATCGCTATGACCTGCCCTTAAGTCTTTCTTTACGTCTGATTGGCTCTAGAGGGGCCAATCAAAACTTCATCTTGACGAGATGAACGCGAGCTTGAGGAAAGCTCCGATGCCGATGACGGAATGGACATAGGACTCTTCATGGAGGGAAAGAAGAGAGATTTACATGCACATGCATGAATAAAACTCCCCCAGCTAAGCAAGTGCGCTTCTTATGCGCTCAATGACTCCCGACGCCGTCGCGCCGTCAAGGATGTCTTGTACCGTTCTCCCCTTGTTGTCCTTGATGTCGCGATCGATGTTGGCGGCAACTAGAACCTTGATAGCAGCAACGGACGCCATTTCGACTGCATAATGAAGTGCCGTCTTTCCCTCTGGGCACTGCGCATTCAGTTCCGATGGGGACAGCGCAGGCAAGATCAGCTCGATATAGTCGGTCTTGTTCCAAGATGCAAACTTGTGCAATGCCGTGAGCCCGTACGAATCGGCACCACCTGGGTTGACATTCTCGACGTTGGCTACATGGCGAGTGATGGCCTCCAAGTCCCCCGGAAAGTCGATCAACTTGGAGAGCGCCTTTCGCCCGTCTGCGTCCGCAGTCGCCCCACTGGCATTGCCAGTGACCTTGCCTTCGTCGGCCTTGAACATGGCTTTTACCACTGTCTCAGTTTTTTTAAGTTGAACGCCTTTCAAGCCACCTAGAGACATCATCATGCCCATCTTCGGCCGAGTTTGCGCTTGCAAAGCCGCTACCGCCCGCTCTTCTTCTAGTTTCGCTCGATATGACGAGGTGGTCTTATTGATAGCCTCAGCTTGCTCTTCCGAGCACCGACTGCGGTCGCTCAAGTACTGATTGAACGTCTCGACTATGGGGTTCTCGGCATTGTCATGACTGACGTCCTTGGGACCACGGCCCCACTTGTCCGTGACAGTGAGATCAGCGCCAAAGTGAAGCAACAAGTCGGCTGTGCGGTGTGCACTTTTGTCGCCCGATCCTGCGCAGAGATGCAACGGGGTTTCGCCGTACTGGTTTTGCGCGTTTACGTTAAGGCGACCGTCAGCGTGGAGCACCTCGAGAGCCTTGAGTGAAGAGTATAGCGCGGCCATGTGGAATCCAGAATCGCCGTTGCGTGACACCAATCGAACGTCCACGCGGTCGTCCGCCAACAGAATCCGCAACAGGTTGGCGTCGTCGTTGAGGCACGCGTAGTGGAACGCAGACTTGCCGTCCTTGTCCACCTTATTGATCACTTCTGCAGTGAGGAATGGCGACGTTGACGCCAGGAGGTGGTTCACATGGTCGAGATCACCGCAGGCCGCGGCATCCACGAACGCGGACTCTGGAAAGTCGAAGATCGATGGAGCTGCCATGGCAAGGAGGTGGTGCGGCTGTCGTCAATTGAGGCGATGTTTGTCGTCAGCATTGATCAATCGTGATTGGTCAAAATGAGTCAAATTTTGATCAATAGTTCAATTTGATTCGCAATAGGGGATGATTTTCATTCAATCACAAGACCATAATTCTTCCAGGGATATTTCCCTCGTGGAATTCTTCCTCCATCAAGAATTAGTCTTACCTCAATCTCCTACAAGTTTCATGACAGCCAAGTTCGGTGACATCCGAGCCTGACGCATACCTCCTCCCAGACTCGTCGATAGACATGTCCGGGGAGAGGCCATCGCTCCTTGTCCAGGTCCCAGATGCAGACCGTGAAACCACGTTACATAAGAATGCCTTCCACCGCTTGATGCACGAACTTTAGTCTGCCACCACCAGGATAGTCGTGTGGTGTGTTTGAGCTTGTTGAGAAGTGTGCGAGCGATCATAGCATATCATGCTCGACCGTGCACTCGCAGGAATATAGAGGCCGAATTGTTCGCACTAGAATTGCTAACCCGCCGTGTACGTCCACGCTATTGAATGCAATGCCCACAGGGCAAGTGCATGGGCTGCTCAATGCACTGCGGATGGTTGATTGACAGGGCAATGATGGAATGCTACAATTCAACTAAACACATCGAATTAAATCAATAGCGACGTGACAAGGCCTTGAGCGCTGGACCGATCCAGGTGCACCAGTCCACTGGCGACAAGGGAGTACAGTGCTCGAATAACAATGCTTTCGTCCACTTGAGCTTGAGTGGCTACTTCGGACTGGAGCTCCTTTTTTGTCCACTCGCCGCCATGGTCAAACAGGAGTTGCAAGAGCACTGCGGCAACATTTCTATCGGACGCCTGCACTTGCACGAGCTTTCGCATTTGTGACTTGATCCTTGCCGCCTTGGCCTCACGCGCACTCAGTGTCTCTTGTGCTTGTTTTAGACGCTTGGACAGCGCAATTGCTCCTTCCTACGGGCAAACATATCCATCGAGCTGCACATTTCAAAATGGCAGGTCATACTTCGTTGGCCTCAGCGTCACGGTTGGCACCCGATGGGGTCAATGATATGATGGATTCTCGAAGCCGACTGCGTTTAGCTTTGAGCTCTTGTAACCTTTCTGACGGTACTTCAGTGGCGACGAGAGATTGCGAATTGCGTCGGTCGGTTAGTTTTCGCTTGGAATTGTCCAGTGCCGCCAAAACGTCTTTCTTTTCTTCCACCCGAAGCTGAAGCACTTTCCCTAGCTCTAAGTTGTACCCGAGAATTGTCGCGCGGTCTAAATGCGAGGTTTAATCATGTGATCTTGTGTATACAGCCATGAAGTCGACACCTGGGGCATGCGCCTGCAGCAATGCGGAATCCAACGCATCAACTTCTTGCTGCACCGCCGCCAACTGGACCTCTAAACGCTCCAACGTCTTTTTCCCGGCTTCCATTTGCGCTTCCCACGCTCGCTCGCTCTCTTCCTGAAGTTCATGGATCCGTGAATCGAAGTACACCTCTGAACTGCGGGCTTTGACTTTGCGCTTCAGATGATCTGTCTCGGCAAGCAACGCTTTATATCGTTCTTCCAATTCCTCCAGGACTAACGTTTGTGTTGTAATCTCTACGCAGGCATATGATGTTCTACTGGTATTGGGGAGCGTGCACAATATCGCTTTTTTCCATACCTTCGTCGCCGCTGACAGCAATGGCTGCTTCGCGAAAGTCTGCCCAGAACTCAGCCCCTTGCTTCCGCCGCGACTCTGTCCCAGAGTTGCTCGCCTTTTCAGAGCCCTCCTTGATTACGATCGGTACTTGCTTCTTCGTTGAGCGGAACACGTGAATCCGCAGGCAGTCGCTGAGCTCGTCAACAGTGGCCATCTTGTGCGAATTCAAAAATGCAATTACTATGCAGAGATTGGCAAGGTATCCGGATTTTTATCCGGGCCATTGACAAAATTGCTTTCTTGCGATATAAACTCGAAGTATGAGCCAACGTGATGTCGACCGCATCAACCTGGTGCTGCACTACGAGAAGATGTATATGGCTGCACCAACGCGCCAGCTTCCTGTGACCATCCTCACGGGATTTCTCGGCAGTGGTAAGACGACCTTGCTCAAGCACATTCTGAAGAATCGCTTGAACCTGCGTGTTTGCTGCTGCGTGAGTGACGTTGCTGCACTCAACGTGGACGAGCAGCTCGTCACGGACTCGAAGACCCGTACCGCAGAAGGCGGATTTCTCATGGAGAACGGGTGCATGTGCTGTCCGGTGCGTCTTGACCTCGACGACACGAGCGAGTTCAAGGACGTTGTGTGGCAAGTGCTGTTCCAGGACGATGGTCTGGTCATGGACTATTTGGTGGTCGAAACCAGTGGTACGCATACTTCCCACCTCTATCAACAGATTTTTACCCCGTTTGCAAATGCTTCGCCACGCATTCCGTCGATTTTTCATGGGCGGCGTTGTCACGGCTGTGGCTTTCATGTCTACTAGGCACGACGGATCCACTGGCCCTCATCCAAGCAATCCAAGCCCGATTTGGCAAAATGACTCGGGCGCGATTGGACTCTGTCGTGACAGTTGTCGATGCAGAAGCGCTCTTGGACAACGAATTGTGCGCCGTGGCGAGGAACCAACTGCAATGCGCGGATGTCGTGCTGTTGAACAAGATGGACTTGCTCGCGGACGATCCAGGTACAAGGCCACTTTCACCTACAAATGCCCCGCGTGAACTTCTATGAGTAGAGCGACAGGCGGCGGCCCGCGCGATTGTCCAGCAGATCGCACCGGCGGGGGTCCACGTGCACGAGACGTCCTATTGCGACGTGTACTTGCCTCGCATTTTGGACATTTCGCCGCCGGATGGAATTTACAATGCCGTGAGCCACGAGAGCGTTCAGGCGCATTGGAATACGTCCGAAGTGTCGTCGCTGCGCCGTACGACTGCCACGTAAGTTGGATTGCATAGATAAACGTAAATGTGGCCTTGGCAGAGAGTTCTTGCAGGTTGGGCAATTCAATTGTCGCAATGTTCAATACGTCGTTGACATGCTCGTCTGAAGGATGTTCCTGGCGATTGAGTAGACCTGACCAGTACACGGTCGCCCGCGACACATGGGCCACGGACGTGTTTGAATCGAAAACTCCCATATCGCTCGCCGCGCTCCACTCGTACATCGGGAATCGCTTGCCGCCGACACTGTTGCGCGCTAAAGGCATTTTGTACTTGAAAGAAGACCCGACACAACGTTATGTCTTTCAGCTCAGTGGCAAGCGCCGGTACGGAGCACAATGTTGGTTATGATAATTTCATCGCCCGCGGGGTGTGTAGCATCCAAGTGGTCAACACGGGGGCGTGGCCGTGCGCGCCGTCGACGCAGCTGGCCGTGATCGGAACCGATTTTGACTTTGCGACCGTGCAGAGCGACCTCCAGTCCCTTGCGGAGGACCATGCTGCCCTCTCTGATGCGGAAGGGTGTGCGAAACTAGTTCGCGCCGACGACCGCTTCGAGCTTGTTCACGTGTCGCCGACTCATGTACGCTAGCCACAGCATGCACGAGGTTTCGATCCTGTGACGACGTGTCTCTGCAGATTCAATTCCGTGTGCGATGCCCTGTGACGACGCTTGACGAGACCATGCTCCGCCACCACCACCATATCGACATGGACGATCTCAACGACCAGTTGGCAGTCGCCGTCAACCTGGCAGGACAAGGCGGGCTCGTGGTGCCGCTTCCCCGACCCGATGTCGCGCTGTTAGCGTCCGTGGCGGGACCTCAAACGCTGCGCACAATGTGGCCATTGGTCGACCTCCATGCGGCAAAGTTGCTCCATGTCGTTCGCCGCAAGCTGGCCGAGTGCATGTGTGGGTTTTAGGTTCAAGCGCTGCAGGAGTTCAGGTATGCGCTCAAGTTCCATAGAGATGGACCAACGGAGAGCTCAGATTTAGCTGAGCCAACAGACTGATGTGTGAAACACTCGAGAGTATTGTTAGGACTGTGACGAGAATACAAACGCTTTTAGCGGTCATATCTTCGCGACGGCGGCGGGGCTTGGTGGGTGTACGGGCGGCCGCTATTCGAGGGTGGCGGAGCGTTGGGTCCTTGCCGTTGGGCGTGCATGTTGCGCAGACCCTGGCGCAGCGCGTCCAAGTTGGGACGGGGAGGCCCAAAACCCCCGCCGGATGAAGGAGGACGAGGGAGAAGACCCCCAGGGGGACCGAAGCCGCGGGGTACGCCAGGGGCCAATTCAGTGCGATGCGGAGCCTGTTGGTAGGAAGGATATCTTCGCGGTGGAGACCGTTGGTTGTACTCGTAGTCTCGTCGAGGGGGGCTGCGGCCTCTTCCTGTAGTATTGCTCGGGTAAAATCCACCGCTGTTTCCGGCTTGAGGTGGACGCCGGCCAAATGGCGGCGGGCCTCCTGACGATGGTGGAGGGTTGTGGTGGTAACTGGGGGGGGCTCGTCCACCGCCGCTTTGATAATTGTTGCTGGGGCGGGAGCTACTGTATTGCTGTGAGGACCCACCCCCGTGTTGGTTGTTATAGTTGCGGTTGCTGCTGCTGTTGTTGTTGCCCTGATACCCTCCTCCGAATGGCTGACGGAAGCCTCGGGTGCGTGTTGCGGTGGCCCCGGCGGCAGCCCCAGCCAAGTCGACGATTGAAATGGACTTGAAACCCATTTTGGGGACCGTGATCGACCGGTCTTCTGGGGTCCTGAGTACCGGTGGCGGCACAACCGCGCCATCGAGCCACGATGACCGATGCAAACCTACGCAGACGATGATCCATTTCAAAGAATATTTCCTGGCAACCCAGAACCTGCACGGGGCATTTCAAAGTGAAAGCTGAGGCACTGGTTGTTGGGCACATCTTGGAGCTCGAGTTTGGACGTTTGCGGGCTCGGAACCGTGCACTTGAGCGGGAAATCGCACGACTCGAGATAGTGCACTCGGCCAAAGATTCCAAACGTATCATGGGACAGGTCAACAGACTGCAGTCCGCTCACCGACGGCAACGGGTGGTCCCCAGCCATCGACGAGTGAAAAAACAGCAGTTCTTTGCCGTATCGCTCGTTGCGCTTCTTCTCGGCGTCCGTAAGTTTATCGTTGATCGGTCGCATCGCGTCCAAGAGGCGGGACTCGTCAATGAAAGGAAGCAGCACAACCCATAGCCTGCGCATACCACAAACGGGTGAAGCAACGAACGTCATCGGATGGCCTTACGCACCATGGCTGGGCCTTTCCATTTGGATCGACAGGAATGTCTTCAGGGTAAAAGTCAATGATGGGTGACTCCGCATCGGTCAGCAGCCACTGCAGGACGAATCGAATGGTACGTCAAATGATTGCATCTCCAACAACACTTCATAATCTTCATACCTGGTACGGCTTGGGAATGGCGTGGCGCGAGTCGGCCGGGAATACCCCCATGAGCTGCTCAAACGGGCAAAAGGGTTGACCAACGTCGAATGAGATCTTGAATCGATCAATGTTTTTGAGATCCGATGCAAAGGGAGCATAGTGGAACGGGTAAAACCACTGCCAAGACGCCACACCGGAGTAGTAGTACCGCATGACCCAGCACAGGCCCTCCACGTACGACTGAAACACCTTTTCGCGCCCGCCACCTATACTTCGTCAGACTTGTTCTACGTGCGATGTATTCGTTACCAGTTTCAATGTCATGGGCCTTGAGCTTGTCCTCGTAGTACCGCGTTTTCCACCCCGGCTCGCCGAGCCGCACGTTGTCCTTAATTTCTTGCTTGAGCTGCTCCAATTTTTTCTCTTCTTTTTCCTTCACGCGAAGCTTGAGCGCCATTTCAGGTGTCATGTGGCGATATTTGGCTTCCCGTTGCTCGGCGGGGGTCAACACCTTCGCCGGCGTTCCTTCTTCAGCATCGTCATTGGCAACGTCTGCGCTACCGTCGTCGTCGTCTACCACGGCCGTGACGATGTCCTTTCCAGCACTTCCCTTCAGTCGCTTCGTCACGGCGACCGCCTCGTCTTTCATCGTAGACCCTAGGACTTTTTCCCGTTGACTTTGGCTCAATTGCCTTGCTTCCCGCATCTGCTCACACAATTGAGACTTTGTCCATCACACAAAGAAGGCAATGCGTACCATGTTTTCACGCTCTTTGGCGACGCGGCGCTGGAAAATCACTTCTTCGACTGTCCCGACCTCAGCCAAGATCACATCGGCCTTTTCCAGATCGATTTCACCCCCAGGCAACGTCAAGTACCCGCCAAGGGACGGCAGGAGTTTGGCATATAGCAGCAGAAGGTAGTCGACAGCACCGTCTCGGATGTCCATGCACGGCAAATGAGGCAAGAAATCGTTGCCGACAAAAAAGCATAAAAACACAAAGTCGTCGATGATGCGTTCAAAGTCGTACGGGAACGGAAGCCGCGCTTGCAGAGGCTGTGTCAACCATTCAAATTAGTGCTGGTCAGTTGCGACGCATTCGAAACACCAGGGCGAACTGAATTGCCACAGATCGTTAACGACACTTCGCTGTGCATCACAGAGACTGCAAGAAACCCACCAAGCAACTGGCACTCGAATCGGGGTGTTCCTGCAACACGAATCGCATGGATCTCACCACCGTGGAAACGAGATACATATTCAAGACCAACAACACCAGCGACGCTCAAGCGAACCTACCTCGAATTCGATCGCTAGGTATTCGCGCAGGATGCTCACGTGGAGGAACTGAAGGGGTTTCAACGTCGATGCCGTCGAGCTCGAGTCGTGTTCGCCAAACTCACCGCGCTTACGTTTGATCGCGTCAGGGACACCATTGGCGTCCAACTTGAACTGATTCGCCTTTTGATCCTTTTCAAACTTGGCCCGTCCAAAGAGCACCTCTTCTCGCAATACAGAGAACTTGGCCTCGTGGGTGGCCAGACCCAGCATAATCAAATCGGCGTCGAGACCATGGAGCACATGGTGTTGATTTGGGTCGTAGCCAGGCTGGCTGCGTTGGGTGCGGATGTACGACATGAGCTTATGCTCACCTTCACCAGGCACACTCGCATCGGAAAACACGACCTACAGCACAGATGAGAAACAATATTCGAGACAAATCAATCGTACCTTAAAGTGCTTCCACGCAGGGCAATTGTTCATGCGATCGCGGACGTAAAAACGCATGTACTTGGACAACTTGGCCATGAATTTTGTCCCAGGCGTGATCACGTTGGAGTCCCACGGCGTTTGCTTCGGCGGAGGCTTCTGCCCTAAAGTCTCCATGTACTCTCGCACTTCTTTGTCAACTTCAGCATGTTGCTTGGCTTCCTGTGCCGATCGGAAACGACGCGAGCGTTGTTGGTTCATTTTCGCGCGGGGCGCGACACCATCGATCGCCATATACAGCAAACGTCGAGGACGAACGCACGCAACCAAACGATCCACATATTCCATCAACCTCAGGAACATCTCTTCTTCCGTGCGAGGCTGTTCACCGTTTTCAGGGTGTGCGCAAGGGTGGATGATGCCGTTCATGTCAATAAACAAGTTATCAAACTCTTGTCCATTCGGGTTCGGCCCTTCGATGTCAATCAGGTTGAAGCGCTTCCTCCCTTCAATCGTCATTGCGCTCTCTTCCACCGCATCCACGATCGTCAAAGGGTACTTGGTGCTCAACCATCGGTAGAACGCGGGGACTCCCATGTGTGTCGCTCGCAATTCAATCCGATATTGGATTGGACCGTCGGCGTTGAAGATTTGTTTTATTAATATAAGGTATATCTTGTTTACAGTAGGCGATTCATTACTTTCCGACTATTCGTTGAAATCCGAATACAGCATCCGGCATCCTCTGTGCTCTCACCATCCAAACAAGTTGAAAAAACGCATATTCGGGTCGAAAAACCGATTCCGTTCTTCTTATATTTTGATTGGTTAACAATGCTGATAATACAATCTTTATAACCAATGAAGTGTGCGTGTTACGAACGAGAATCGGATAGTTCGATCAGGACGGTCTCAGTCTGAGCCTTGCCCATGTAGAGCATTTTCATCGGGTACCCTGGACAGCATGGAGCTGCGCCAGCGTTTGTGCTCCCAAGTCAAGAAGTCAACGGTATGATCTCATCTCACCTTGTGCAGATGTGCATGAACAGATAAATGGAACGGAGAACGCCTTGAATGCAGTCGACTAAATTCAGAATTGACCGATTTTCCAAATTCGAGCCGTCACAACACTTTTGACCAATAATTATTGGTAAACCAAATCAAGGCGCGTGATTGGCCAATGATAAATATTTTCCCTATTAATAGGCGGTAGGACAATTCAATACTAGCGATGATTCTAACATTTTTCTGGCCACAGGTGTGGACAAAAATGTAAACGCAGCTTGGACCACATTGTTCGCTCTTCATATCGTCAAGGTCAAAGCCAATCAAATCATGAAATCTATCAGTGACTGCGCAGTTGTCGTTAGAATGTAACATCCCGCGCCAAAGTAGATGAAACTGGGTACAGTAGCGGTCCGAGATTCATGTTTACGATGAAAAGAAAAGAGGGAAAAAGATCGAGTCGGGAGGACGCAGCGAAAAATATTCTGACTCAATTAGCTAAGAGAACTTCATTCAAGACATGCGACTCCACAACGGTGCATTCACAATAACGCATTTCAACAACTGAGTTAATGAGTACCAAATGGACTGGCTAAATGCCTATCACTCGTGCAACAAACCCGGATCTGGCTACAATTGACCTCTCATATGGGTCAAAGAGATGATCTCTTTGGATTCGACATTCACGAAGCGACCAAAATACATATAGTAACGTGGATTTAAGTTTTGCCAATTTACACCAAACCAATCAAGCCCATCAACTTTCAACCTTTTATCGCTGCAAAGCTTGCACAACCAAAAACCTCTGGTCAGATTCAAATCTGTTCATCCTTGTCGTGCAGCCAAACATAGCGCCACCCCCACGCGGGGGTCGGTACTTTAAGGATGACCTCCTTTGGGCTGTCTACGCTGTGATGGAGAGCACAAACGGTGCGGTTGTTCAACAGCAAACGCGGATTCTGTACGCAACTTTGATGAAGGATATCCGTGCTGTCATGGTTGGTGATGTTGTTGAAGGGAATCAGCGTGGCCCAAAGGAGTTCTGCCAAGCGGTTGTGAAGAAGACTCGGTCGCGTGGATCGGTGCTATGCAACGGCCGCTCAACTGACAGTCATGCGGTCATTGTCAATGCAAATCAAGTCTACCATCGACTGAATCCAACGAGTTGTCCGCAGGATGGTACCGCCGTTTTTTGCATCGGCACCCTCAGCTCACCAACCGCGCGGCCCAAGTCATCTCCCACGCAAGGAACGCTGTTGACGAAGACGGTGTACATTCTTTGTTCACTCCCTCACAAGGCATCGTTGAAAATCATGGACTCTCACATGAATGTATTTGCAACATGAATGCAACGGTTTTTGCTTCACGGCAAAAGACTCAGTTAAGGATGTTTTTGTAATCAGAGGTACGCATAATGTTTGGGCGAAAATAGTGTGTGCGAATTTTCATCCTTCTCTTTTTGCATGCGGAAATGCTGTAGTTATTTATCACCCCTATATTTTTCCTGGTGAATCTGTTGAAACATCAACTGAGAATTTCTGTACTGTTCCTCTCCTCCCTCATGCAACAAGTTCTACATCACCAAAAGGATTTGTGAATGAAGCTACGTTGCAAATATTGCTAAAATATTACAGAAACCGTCGACGAAAACATTTGCTTTCAATTCTTGATGGTTTGGCTTCCCATTATTCGACTACTGGTATTGTTGTGAATTTGTCTGACACCTTAGCAGTAACTTTGCAATCAAATGCAACGAATTTTTTCAACTTTTGGAAGTTTCTGTCTTTTATCCATTCAAACAAGCTATCCGCCAGGGCATTTTCGACACTATGGTCAGCGATGGTATGGATTTGTATCATCACATCGAAAAATGTTAATGTAATATTGTGTAGAATCCGGCGACTTCCACATCATCTCCAAGCCCCGCGCTGCGCACATCGCATCAAAGGCAAGGACAAATCGCATCCAAAGAAAACAAGCTCGTCTGCGGATTTCAATACACGTGTATCTTTCCAGTGTCATTGTAAAAGTTGTTGGAAGGATACTACCTAGTTGTGAGATGTTCTTTAATGTTTGTGTTTTTACGTTTTACGTCATCGTATCGATTTGACTAAATCATAAAAAATATGATTCGTCTATTGGTAATATGCACGATAGTAGTCTCAAGGTTTGTGGTGTAATACTGTAGGCGTCATCACCTCCATCTCCACACCAGGTAATATTCAAACAGCACAGCTGGTTTCGACAAATAAACTACCTAAATAAAATTTCGAAATCTCGAATATATATCCCAACAAAGCTTGATTGGCTAAAGATACAACGTTATTCGATGTTGTTCGTCGAATCAGTTGATGCTATTGATGCTTTTCTCGAAATATCAATAGACGAACCATTCCGTCGTTACCTGCAATGCAAAGTCCGTTCAAAAACCACAGACGCACCCAAAAATCTCAGTTGCGACCTGTTCCAAAACGAATCAATCAAAACACTTTTGACACGATATGTTGGACGACATCAAAGCTTCAGCGCAGGTACAAGTAGACAGACTAACGTACGTGCGCAGGTGATATCATGTAATTTCGACTTTCAGCCTGTCTGCGACATTTTGGTGTGCAAGATGGCATGTAATGTTGATGAGGATCGTTCGTATAGCCTTTACGCTTCGTCCTAGGGTGCAATGACTCGATTGCTTTGTCGCATTGCTTGAGTGCTACTGTAGAACTGCTCCAATCTCACGTTCCGTCAAATCGGGTCCATTGGACATCGAAAATTGAAAATGAATGGCTGTGTGATGTAGCAGGTGACGAGATTTGTGTTTGTATTTTTTCGACGAATTTGAAAACAACGTCGAGCGCCGCCGCGATTGACTGCGCCACCGAAGTGAGCAGATGGCACCCATTCAAAGTACGTGAAAATAGCCTGCCAACAACATCGCGAGCTCATACCGTCAAATGTAATACGAGTCGGACAGTCACATGCCTTTTATCCGTATTCGGAT